ATTACAGGACTGCTGCTAGAAGTGGTTCCTGGCAGCACAGTGGACTTGGACGGAGTAGTAACCGTAATGCTAGTGGGTACACTGCTTCCACCCACAGAACTTGAGCCTCCAGCGGAACATTGATCAGAATTGGCGATGCACGTAGTTCCAGTAGGGCAGCCTAAATAGATGTTAGCGTTGCTCGTGCGATCGATAGAGAATATAACACACATCCCCCGGTAGAGTCATTGCAGCAGGAGTAGCCGGATTCACAGCAGGTGTCGTCGCTGCAGCATTCACTACCAGGGTTGCAGCAGGCATTTCCATTACACGTTTGCGCGGTACTGGGACAACATCTACAGCAGATTTTAGAAAAGAAAAGAAAATCGATTGAAATATTTTCTCACTCGGATTCGAAGCACTGGTTGGAACATTCGTCGATCAGTACTCGGTTTTGACGATGGGATCTAAACAGATGCGAAGGTACGTACAGTGGTGCCGTCTGGACAGTTATACGAATCGCTGCACTAGACTCAAATCGTTAATCACAGTGGAAAGGCTCATCATGCAACCTTACACAGAAGCTGCCAGTAGGGGCACATGCGTCCGGGTAGTTGGTACATTGCTCTAGGGCGGGTAAGCAACGTGTTTCTTCGTACTTGGCACGTGAATTCCTTACGATATCCGCTGGGGCATCCTTGTCGAGCAGTGAACTTCCCTCGGGGAACCAAGAGAGCTGATAGTACAGACTTGGTCAGTACTAGTGACGATGACTTGGAGTGACGTGGAACTCGTGAGACTGTTGAGGCAGGGTCTGCAACAGCGAGCTGAAGGGATAAGAAAAGAGACAGAGCGATACACAGCAGATGCAGCATGGTGGTGGTGGGAGTTGCAGCGGCTTGATGTGTTCGTCTGTCGTTCGTGCTCTTTATATCGGAAAGTCAGGTGTTAGCTTTCACGTCAGATGAGTCTTTAGCGAAGGCAGTGAGCCTGTATAACATTCTTGGCAAGGCACCAGGGTTAAAAACATTGATACATGATACATGAACATGCGGCGTACCACAGACCGGACCTGACTAATTTTATTATGTGGCCGCAAAACTTAGGCGCAGCTGGAGCTGTATTCCATAGCGTGTTGTATTAGAACACCATGAAGTATAACGCGGCCTCACTCAAGCAGTCATGTTAAAGAGTGTCGTAGTACAGCTTCAACAGTCGTTCAAGATGCTCACCAAAGGGGAGCCGAAATACATTGCATGCTACAGCCTTGAGCGCTTGAGCAGTGCCTGACCGGTCGACCGATAATCGATAACCCATAGTAGCATTGTGTTTGATCCGAGATTGGAAAAAACCGACCACTGATGGGCCTATGATGATGTAAGCTACCCTGGTAGGCCCGAGCGTATTCAAGTTTGCGAATCCAAGACTTCATATGTTCAAACTTGGGTTCGTATCTTGTCAACGAGCTGACGAAGGACTTACTGCCTCAAGTAGTGTTATATGTTAGTGGTCAGCTAATAAAAAATTGTTTACTGCATCTCACGGCAATAGCGCAGGGGCATGTCAAGTCTAGACCCTTATGAAAAGATTTAACACAGCCATGGCCCATTACGTTTACTAGATGAGACTTGGACATAGCTTTACTCTTACTGAGCGCTCAGCGCCGCTGACCACCAAAGGTTTATAACGTTTTACAACAGGGCACTCGTTCAGATCAAACAACCTAACACACCTGTGGATAAATGGAGGTCGACCGTCCGAGTCTCATGAAGTTGATAGTGATATCTGCAAAAGTCGAGACACTATCCTTCGTTTTTGATCACCAGCAATACTTGTTATTGCTCATGAGTGCTGTCAGTGGCATGCAAGGATATCCTTCTTTTCGGAGTCTATGGTGTCCACTCGCATGAATTTTGCCAGGTGATGTTTAACGTTAATGTCACCGTGACAGGCTGGGCGCTAGAGTCTGTAGCCAAGTCGAACAACATCTTGAGGACAAACAGTAATGTCGACTAGTATGGATAGGCGATGCTGGGCAGGCTTCTTGGAGTTAAACATGTTTTTTGTTTAGGTTGGATTATCGTTGATGGACAAATCATCATTGCAGGCGACTCCAGATTTTTGGTACTCTATCTGCTGTGATTAGTCTCCCATCACTGACGTGTGCATAGCCACTTGCACTTCAATAATGATCCTGCTTCCGACTGGACCCTTCGCGAGAAAGCCGTGCGCTCGAGCCAGCTCATTATGTTATACCTCGAGGGCCATTTGACAAGACTCTTTGATGGCAGTGTAATTATCCTGCATTTCGCTATATGCTTCGCTGCTCAATGAGTGATTTCTCGTGATTACTGAGGGAGGCACTTGATCGATCTGATCTCCCGCAATCGCGAACCAACTAGATCAATCTGCAGGCAAAACGTCGTATTACAAGTCCTATTATGCAACAAAGTAGACGTTATCTGACATATCATAAATCACAACCTCAACAAATGCTGATTATAAGAAGAAAAGTGTTATTACGCGTTCACAATGCCTGGGCGACATGATGGAGGATCGGCAAACCAACAACTGCAGCCAACGCCACAAGTTGTTTCCCAGGTGCGAGTGCAATACCACGAGGAGCAGCCCCAAGTTGTGCTAAATGTATGGTATAAGTCAGGTCACGGATTAGACGCAAGAGGCTGCTTACACAAACCAGTGGAAGTAGACCCTGTGGATGAAGCTGTCGAAGAAGTACTCCGAGTCGAAGACCTAGTTGTTGTGGGCTCGTTGATTGTACTTGTATGACTGCTGCTAGAAGTGGTTTTTAGCTGCACGGTTGACTTGGACGAAGTAGTAACTGCAACGCTAGTGAGTACACCGGTTCCACCTCCACCAGTCGAGCCTCCAGTGGAACATTGATCAGAACCTGCTATGCACGTAGTTCCAGTAGGGCAGCCTCAATAGATGTTAGCGTTGCGCATGCAATCGATAGAGAATATAACACACATCCCCCGGTAGAGTCATTGCAGCAGGAGTAGCCGGATTCACAACAACTGGCGTCGTTGCAGCACTCACTACCAGGGTTGCAACAGGACTTTCCGTTACATGTTTGCGCGGTATTGGGGCAACATCTACAGCAGACTTTAGAAAAGAAAAGAAAATCGATTGAAGTATTTTCTCACTCGGATTCGAAGCACTGGTTGTAAGGTTCGTCAGTCAGTACTCGGTTTTGACGATGGGACGCGAAGGTACGTACGGTGGTGTCGTCTGGACAGTTATACAGATCGTTGCACTAGGCTCATAACGTTAATCACGGTGGAAAGGCTCATCATGCAACCTTACACAGAAGCTGCCAGTAGGGGCACATGCGTCCGGGTAGTTGGTACATTGCTCTAGGGCGGGTAAGCAACGTGTTTCTTCGTACTTGGCACGTGAATTCCTTACGATATCCGCTGGGGCATCCTTGTCGAGCAGTGAACTTCCCTCGGGGAACCAAGAGAGCTGATAGTACAGACTTGGTCAGTACTAGTGACGATGACTTGGAGTGACGTGGAACTCGTGAGACTGTTGAGGCAGGGTCTGCAACAGCGAGCTGAAGGGATAAGAAAAGAGACAGGGCGATACACAACAGACGCAACATAGTGATGGTGGAAATCACATCGTTTTGTTGTTCCTGCTCTTTATATCAAAAAATCAGGTGTTCATTTTTCAAGTGAGACGAGTTTTTAGCAAAGGGAGTGAACTGTATAACATCCTTGGCAAGGCACCAGGGTTAAAACTTCAATACATCATACATGCGGCGTACCATAGATCGGACCTGGCTTGGTTTATTATGTGGTCGCAAAATTTAAGCGCAGCTGGATCTGTACTCCATAGCGCGCTGTGTTGGAACACGATCAAGTATAACACATCGAACCTAGGCCTCGCTCAAACAGTCATGCCATTGAGTGTCGTAGACAGCTTCAACATGCGTTCAAAAGGCTCACCATCAAGGAACCGACAAAGTCTTGAGCGCTTGAGCGGTGCGACAGTGCCTGACTTGGTGACCCACACATAGTAGCATTGTGTTTGCTCCGAGCCTGAGATCGGCAGAAAAAGCTATGATCACTGAGTTCCGACGACGTAAACTTGTCAGCGGAGCAGGCCCGCATCTCACGGCAAGTGACTCAATAACGCAGGGGCATGTGAAGTCTAGATCCTTACACAAAGATTTAACACAGCCATGGGAGCCATTACGTTTAGATGAGACTTGAACATAGCTTTATCCTTTACTGAGCGCTGAAGCGCTGACCACTGAAGTGTCTGTACAACAGGGCACTCGTCTGGATTCAACAACCTAGCACGCCTGTGAATGAATAAATGGATATCGGCCGTCCGAGCCCATGGAATGGATAGTCATATCTGCAAAGGTTGAGCCTGAGACGCTATATCCTTCATTTTGGACCACCAGCAAGTATTTGCTCATGAACCAAAAACATGCACAAACTTATCTGCTAGCGCCGTCAAATGGTGGTGTGCATCTTGTCACGTGATGTTTAACATTGATGTGGGCGCTAGCCTGTCTGCGCACAACATCATGAGGACATTCGTAATGTCGCCGAGTACGGATAGAACTTCCTGGTGATGCTGGGACCAAAGGTCGCCGGGGCACAGATCGGGTACTGTGAGTCTCTTAGCTTCTTGGACTGATGCGGCAGTCGCCCACTCATCTACTCATGTCGGTTCATCGCTAGGAAGACTAGATGGGCGTTCATAGAAGATAACTGCACCTTCTGTATCAGTTTTCCGGAGAATTTTAGAGCACGAGATAGGCTCGTACCTTCCAAGTATCTTCTTTCCTTGTTTGTTGTGCAGACCTCCATCATGCACAATTATTACCGGCAAACACGCTCGGGCCGCCACTTTATCGTATCTTCGCTTCGGAATCGTCCTAGAAGGTGATTCCAGTGCTTTGCAACAACAGCACGCGATGGTGATGGGGTTTCAATCGATTAGCGCTAGTAGGGGGAATTCCACTCTCATACTATCGCAATCGCCGTTATATAGCAGAGCACTGCGTGGTACGTACGCACTACAGACGCACACTATTTTGTCATGGATGTGTCTAAATCCTTTTATTTTAATTCTTCTGTGTCCCTGCAGTGTCATCGGCACCGTCGGGTGAACAACTCCTGGGCATGATATCACGCACTTCTCGGATATAGATCGGATATGCAGACCATCATGTACGCACCTCTACAAAGCTTCAGTTCTGCAGGTAGTTCGGTACGGGTAACCTCGGGCGGCGGACCCCTAACAAGTATTCTATATTCCCGCTTCTGTGAGGCACTCCTATGATCTCACACCTCAAGTACTGTGCCAGAGCTTATCATGCGGTGCAGTGGCTTTGGGCAGTGTCCATATGATATAGGCACCCATGCCATCAAGTCTTCTGCATCGTATTTGCAAAGCCAGCGAGATAAAAAAAAGTCGAAGAGTCCGCGATAGAACTTACTCCACCCAAGCGGAAGTCCACGCCCGTTCGATGAATGGCCCTGTCTTTTCCTTTCTCAGGTGCTCGATGATCTTATCTACAGGATCACAACGTTATGCCAAGTCCAGTCATGAGACTGGCATACATGGGCACCACTTCCCGACGGGCCATCATGCATCAGAGTCTAGAGGTCGCAACGCTTCCGCACTACGACCGCTATTGTGCCTTTACGACCAACGCCGCTTGTAGGATAATGAAAATTCCCTGGCCACACGGTCATTAGTAGTCGACGGTTCAAACGTTCATGCCCAAATGAGCGTCAACTTGGGCGCGACGTGAGCATTTGATATTTATGGGTACATCCCGTGATGCACTCCTGTAGCCAAGAGCAAGATATCCACTTTTACATATCGATAGATCAATATCCCATCAGTGATCATCGATTTCGTACATCAGTGACCGGTGACCGTTGTATATAACCAAATTGATAAGAGATTCCAAGACTATTTGCGCAATGCGCGCTCTGACCCAAGAATCTTGCCGATGATCGATTGAAAGAGGGCCCGGTAATGTCATAGCCTATCTATAATATCAATACCCAAGGAAGCATTGTTAACAAGTTGACAACTACGGGAAAATTCTGCAAAACAAGCCCTGTGTTCACGTCACTCGTGCATAGCAAGGAATCGGGATGGCAACAAGAGCAATGGGATGATGATGACGACGACAGCAACAACATGACACAAGACATTGTCCAAAAGTTCAAACACGGGTATGTAAGGTAAACAAGTCCAAACTTACAAGACAACATGCATCTTCGCAATTGCGGAATGTAACAATAACCGTAACC